TCATTTTAACATTATTTCTTTCGATAAATACAAATTACCCCTTATATGAGTCATTCAATTCAGTCTTTCTTCAGACATAAAGTGAACCATTAAAAATGTTACATCAAATCTTACATCAAAGCTTACATCAAATCGCATTAAAATAACACTGCTTATGACAATAGTAGGTATGGATGTTTAGACCATGAGTAACATAAAAATCATGCAAACAGTAATATTATGATTTAAAAATATGATGCCATTATAAAAATGTGTACGAAGTAAACATAGAAATAGAATGTTCAAAACAAAAAATAGAAAGAAAAGAAAAAAAAGAAGAGAGAGAGAGAGAAAGAGAGAGAGAAATAACATTAAAAACCATTAAATAAAATATTCAACATACATAGTAACAGTGCGAAACCTACAATGCGAACAATCAAAAGGTAACAATAGAATGAATGAATAAAAAGATGTTATCATGAAGCTACGTAAACAAGTAAACAACTATTCACACACACACACACACACACACACACACACACACACACACACATACACACTAACACACACACACACACACAGTCAGTCCATGCAACTATAAAGACAGCTCAAGTTGGAACTACTGCCCAACTCATTGCAGCGATGAAAAACCAGCCGACTCGCTTGGAATGTGTTCTGACTGCCAAGCAGGTTACTGCGGATCCACGTGTCAGTTGAGAGGTTGGCGGGAAGAAGATTTTTTGGCGGGAAATTTTTGAAATTTTAGCGGGAACTTTTTATTTTTCTTTGGTAAAATATTTTGATCTTTTCACCAAAAAATTTAAAAATTATTTTTCGCGGATCAAGTTTATTTTATTTTCAGTTTAAATAAAAATACATATTCATATATTTATTGGGATTTTTTTTGTATATTAAATTACCAGCTGCTATTTGAAGTAATCAAATGATCATTTCAATGAATAATTTGTGGCTCAGATTGTTACAACAACAATGGAGGTTGTGGCGACCACCAGTGTATCATTCAGTACTCCAACTTCGTTGACGCCTTCGAATGCGACTGCAACGAAGGATACCACAAGTCTACCTATGATGGCCAATGCGAGCGTACGTGTACACACATACACAGACACACATACATACACAAACACGTACGTACATGCAAACATACATACATACATACATGCATACATACATACATACACGGCCCGATGGACCCCAACACCCTTAAATTTTTTAAGGAAATATGCAAAATGATCAGCGTCAGATCAGGCGACAGCAGGGAACTGTTTTTCGCAACTAACCACATTTCGTGCTTGTTGCAGCGGTTCCTGCGTGTCTGTGTGCTTGAAAATATCCAACTGAATGCCGACATGTGCAATTAACGACAAATCAAAGTGTTGATCCATTTGTTACTTGATGTTTGACGGTTCAGTGTCACTCATCATGTTTTGGTTTTAACATACATACATACACACACAAACACATACATACATACATACATACATACATACATACATACATACATACATACATACATACATACATACATACATACATACATACATATATACATACATACATACATACATACATACATACATACATACATACATACATACATACATACATACATACGAAACGAAACGAAACGAAATGAAATTTTATTTGCTCCATAAAATTAAAAAAGAATTTAATGATAAGAAGCGGGCTGACCATGATAGAATTCTTATTGGAATTCATCGAGCATGGCCACCGTAACAGAAAATACAAATTATGTTTCTAGTTTTCTATATAAATTATACACCTTTGAATGTAATATATAATACATACATACATACATACATACATACATACATACATACATACATACATACATACATACATACATACATACATACATACATACATACATACATACATACATACATACATACATACATACATACATACATACATACATACATACATACATACATACATAAATACATACATACATATATACATACATACATACATTCATAGATACATACATACATACATACATACATTCATCATGTTTTGGTTTTAACATACATACATACATACATACATACATACATACATACATACATACATACATACATACATACATACATACATACATACATACATACATACATACATACATACATACATACATACATACATACATACATACATACATATATACATACATACATACATACATAAATACATACATACATACATACATGCATACAAATTTTTAACAGTTATACCATTTACACTGAGCCCTTACCAAATTGCAACGATAGTATTAGCAATACTACTTGGCATAACGTTACTGCTACTCATCATATTCACCATCGTCATGTGTCAGTAAAAATTATTTTTAATAATAAGTTAATTATGATAATAATTATAGATAATAAAATAATAATTATAGTTTGAGATAATCATGTTGTTGGAGTTATAATAAAGGGAGATTTCATTACGATGATGATTTGATAATCTAACTTGTTACTATTAATACCTCATTAGCTATTCTTGTTCTATATGTGTGGTGGGGGTTGGTTTAACCCAACGAAATAAATTATAAGAGCTATTTTATTATAAATTTTAACAATTATATAACAAATATGAATTAAATTAAATTAATTAATTTAATTTATTTTAATTATTCTTTTCATTTCACGGTTTTTAGATGTTCAAAGATCGAAACGTAAAAACCAGCCGACGAATTCAGAGAAAGTTTATGACAACCACAATAGCCATAGAAGCAACAACACCAACAACAGCAACAGCAACAACAACAACAATTTTAACATGAGAAGTTTAAGCTACGAAAGCCCACAACGAGATACGGAATATCATAATTACGCCGAAATTGTGGAATCTACCAAGGATAACAATAGGGGTTCTATCTTCCCAAAAAAAGGATCGCCTTCTTGTCTGGATGTCCTGGAATGATTCTCTCTCTCTCTCTCTCGGTTTCTCTCTCGGTTTCTCTCTCTCTCTCTCTCTCTCTCTCTCTTGTTCTCTCTTTCGAAATAATTAATAACCAACTGCATAATGTGAAGCATTATGAACATTAACAATCATTATATATTGTATATATAAATAGTTTGGTATATATGTATAGTAATATTTCATTTCGATGTATAATTATGATTTATTCTGAGTGTGTGCGTGTGTATGTGTGTGCGTGCGCGTGTGTGTGTGCGTGTGTATGTGTGTGCGTGCGCGTGTGTGTGTGCGTGTGTGTGTGTGTGCGTGCGTGTGTGTGCGTGCGCGCGCACGCGTGTGTGTGTGTTGTGTATACCTAATGTGTTTTGTTATAATATTAATGAATTCTTTAAAAAATACATTCAACTCAATCATATTTTGGATTAATAACGATACTTATTGCCATATATGTATAGTAATTGTTACATCTTTTAATAATACAATAAATGATAAAAAATGAAGTGCTAAAAGTGAACTTTAAGAACGAGTTTCATTGCGTTGTCATGGTAATGTCTGCAAACAAACTGTAACCTTTTTGCTATAGGCACAAATTTTTACCCGTGTTAGCGTTGTTGGGGAATTTTATTAAAATGTCTATTTACAGAGCTGCCATGACGAAGTTGACGAAAAGTTTACAACAACAACAGCAACAACAGGCAGTAAATAATAATAAGAATGGTTGTAGTAAAGTTGTTGTTGATTTTGACAGAGACCCGTTGTATAAAAGTTTCAAAAGTCAGTTTAACGCTGTTCTTGCTTACCTGATGAAGAGGAAGACGGCTGCGGATTTCAAGATGAAATTGTAAAATTTTTAGAATTTAATTTCTGCTAATTTTTATATATTTTTTTACAATATCGAATTTGTCTTTACTTTTTTTTTTAGGGATTAGTAATTAGTTTCTCTTTCTCTCTTTCTCATTCTCTTTTCTCTCTCTCTCTCTCTCTCTCCCTCTTTTTCACACACACACACGCACACACAAACATTAAAACTATTTTTATTAATTATCTATAGATTTTATTTTCATTTTTGTTAAGAAACGAACAGCTGGTGAAATTGTGGAGTAATTTTGAAGACAGGCTACCTCGTGATTTTATAGAAGAAAAAATTTTATCCATGGCGTCTCACTTAGTTAATAATCAGGTTCCTATTATTACCACTACTTTATCATTACTTTTACTACTGCTGCTGCTGCTAATTCTGCTGCTACTATTACAACTACTGCTGCTGCTGTTGCTGCGACTACTGGTACTACTAAAATTAATAATAATAATAAAACCGTATTTTATCAGTTTTTACTTTTATGACTGGCTGAATAAATGAATGAATAAATAAGATATTCACTACCACTACAACCAACAAAGGAATACGAAGCAGTGATCTGGCACTGCTACGACAAGCTTCTCATGAGGTACTACCCAAAATCTTTCACGTTCATCAACTTCGTCACAGTTGAACACTTGCTATGTCTAGTTGATTGTAGAGATTTCAACAGTCTTCCTGTTGAAAACGCTGTAAATTATTTGTTTTTTCGATGTTTTATTATTGGCCTGCGTGTGTGTGTGTGTGTGTGGTGTGTGCCTGTGTGGGGTGTGTGTGTGTCTGTGTGCGTGCATGCGCGGGTGTGCGTGCATGCAATTTACGAATTGTTGATTAGTTACTTAATTTCAGTCTTCAGTTTCGCCGTACATTCTGCAACATTCCCACCACGAGACTTACACACGTACGCAAACATACACACGCCTATGGCTTTTATTGATAACTACCTGAGCCCTGAACTCAAAAGCCCTTCGATTGTTAAGAAATGAACAAAGATGCATATCAATTTTTATAAATCTGAAGTGTAAATTTTCAATTTCAATTGTATAATATAGATAGATCGCCAAAGGATGTATAATTAATATCAGTGAGATTTTTTTATTTCTCGTAGCTACAATCAATAATCGGTCGGATTATGTCCAAGTATAAGTTACTGATGTCATCTGATGCCAGCTTGACGAACGTTTGTTCAGTGCCCTCATGTTTGCACATGTTAAAACAGCTTCACGTCATTCTTGACGCCATTTTCCTCTACGACGATCTCTATTGGCTGGTCTACAACGGTTCGTCATCTCTCATTGGTTCATTCGATGTGTGACGTCATTGCGTGATTTATTATTGCGTCACTAATAAAAAAAAAGTGAATGAGATGATGAAATGGAGAATGTTGTCATAATTTCAGTGACCATTCATGTATACAGCATATGCAGGCAGCTCATGGTTCTTGGCTGGTCACACAAGGTTTCTTCAGATTATAATTCTTATTCTTCGTTTTACTTTTAGTTTTTTCTTCTTATTATCATTTGTTTATTATTATCATTAAATTTGCTATTTAACTAAATATGCGGCCCTTCAAAGGTCATATGGTTCTCAATGCGGCCCTCATAGCAAAAAGTTTGCCCACCCCTGTATTAAATAAATCCAAAATTTTTTTTTCTTTCTCTCTTTCCCTCTCTTTCTTTCTATCTGTGTATATATTTAACATGTAAATGTGATACAATAATAAAAAATCCCAGGTGTGTATACGAGTGTATAATACAAAATACCAGGTATTACTGCACGTGAAGCGTTGTACAGAGTGCATGGATGCATCTGGTGAATTGAGTTCGGTGGATTACTTGCAGTGGAGGGTGACGCTCTGCATTGCTGTATGTCAGTGCTATTATGAAATTGGTGAGGAAGAGAGAGCTGAGGTAATTGTTGTATTGTTGCTTGTGTTTGTGTGTCTGCTTGTGTGTGTTTGTTTGTGTGTGTTTGTGTGTGTGTTTCATTAAGCAGCCATTCAGCCATACATTCAACAGTTCGCATTTTTATTCATTCGTTATGTTGCTTAACGAAATCGCGTTTATGATATTATATCTGCCCATTCTTTTATTTGTTTTACGTTTTCAAACTGTTCCTTCATTTATTTGATTGTCGTCTATACATTCATCATTTTTTCATTAATCTATCAATTCATCTATCTATCCATCCATCTATCTTTCCATTACCCTACTATCCATCCATCAATTCATTAATTCACCTGTAAGGCCTGTGCCAGACAAATGCTCCTTAAGATGAATGACTTGAAAGAAGATTTGCTGAAAAATTCAAAACCTGCCAATGTTAAGGTCGACGATGAACGTTGTGGCGGATGTATTGGCAGCTGCGATGCAGCTGCCGTAGCTGATACGACAGCTGCTGCTACAGCTAATACCTCAACAACGATGAAGATGATGAAAGAACGCAGAGAGTCTGAATTAGGTGGGAAAATTGGGATTGGTGGTTGTCATGGTAATGAAAAAAAAGGTGACGTAATTTGTCGTCGTTGTGGTGGTAGTGGTGGTTGTCGTTGTGGTGGTAGTGGTGTCTGTCGTTGTGGTGGTAGTGGAGGCCAACGGAATGATGGGAAATGGATTTACGATGAAGTGTTTAGAGCCTGTACTTTTAAGGTTAGATGTTTGTGTTAATTCGTCAGTTGCTGCTGCTGTTGTTGTTGTTGTTGTTGCCGTTGTTGTTGTTGTTGCTGTTGTTGTTGTTGTATTTAGCGTCGTTGATATCATCGTCATAATCACACCACCACCACAACTATCTTAGTTATCCGTGATGGTCTTCAAGAGGGCGGTCATAGAGACGAGACGTAGACCTCGAGACTTCCTGAGGCCAGTCAACCGATTCAACATCAAACAATTTGCCAACGTAAATTAATTATGATCTCAGTTTAATTATTGTCATAATTTATTTCCCTATTTAAATAATTTTGGTTTACACGATAGCCTAGTGTTTAAGATGCCTGGTAGTGTATGTGATGCGTTAACTTGGAGTCACATGCATTAATTTGGAGTGCTGATACCTCCAAGTCCGAATTGTTTTATTTATTTATTTACTTATTTTATTTCTTTTAAAAAATCCTCAAACAAAACGCCAACGACAGCTTCAGTGGCCGCGAACTAACACGGAAAAAATGCTGGATCTAATGTTCATTGGCACGTCAGCGAAATTCCTGGCCATCCTCAATGCACTCACTAATTGTGGTAGGAGGAGTTTGAGGGGACGGATACTTCTGACGTCACCCGTCAATCAGTATGACCTCGGTGGAAGTTCAAGGTTGAGGTCAAACAATTATAACTGTAATAAAGATGATGGTGATGATTATGATGATGTTAATAATGATGATAATAATATATGTAATGTTAACACGAATCAGGACAAAAATTATATTAATAATAAAATAATAATAATAGTAGTAGTAATAGTAATAATTGCCCAACTAAGTATAATGATAGAAATATGTAGGTACGTAATAATAATAATTTAGATAATATTAGTAATAATAATAATTATTATTATTATTATGAACAGTGCGAACAACAACAATAATAATAACCAAAACATCGCGGTTGACCTCGAGGTACAAGATGTCTACGAAGAGCTATTCTTCGCCGGCCAGGAACTAATCGCCGGTGGGCATGGTGTTATTATAATTATTTGTATAATTTTCTTATTATCATTTGTATAATTTTATTATTGATATTATTATTTGTATAATTTTATTATTGATATTATTATTTGTATAATTTTATTATTTATATTATTATTTGTATAATTTTATTATTTATATTATTATTTGTATAATTTTACTTTCATTATTATTATTATTATCATTATTCATCATGTACTTAATGCTAAAGTGAATAGTGAACTGCCCCTGACTCTTAATATTATTGTTGCTCGTACGCTCTATTTATTGCTGCTGAAATTATTTTCTAGTGAAAAATACTGATAAAATGAATTCATAATAATAATAATATTAATAATAATAATGATGATGATATTACATAGGAATAGGCGGAAATAAAAATACGGATGATGTTGCCAACAGTATGATAACGTTAACGATGACGACGATGATGAAAGGTGTTGTTGTCGATGATGATAGCAAAGATAATGATGGTGTTGGCGGTGATATCAAGGTTGTATCTA